ACTTTCCGCATCTCCAACATTTTTTAAAATAAAAAATATTTTAAAGACCTGCAAAATGTGATAACCTTGATCTTGTGATCTTGTTGTTGTACTGTTGACAATTTCTGGCAAAATATTGCATCCCTTTTTGATATTTCTTGCATGACTGTCTGCTGCATCCCCCTTTTACCGCCATTCATGGATGTTTCTGAGTCAAAACTCAATGCAGAGCAATGGCACCTGTGTGGGGCACGATAAGTCACAAGATGTCTAATCTATTAATGTAGACCAATGTTATTGACAATCTCTTTTCCTTTTCCTACCTTTGAGTGGTTTGGGCAGGAAGTGTGCAGCAGCCTTGTTCTTCTTCACGTGGTTTCCCTTCATGATGGCCCCCTCCTTGTTGAGTCCCAGATACCACGCCCGGCCCGAGTTCTGCTGCCGGTACATCATGGAGGAGTAGGTGACGTAATAGTTCTCAAACACGGACTCCTTGAACTTACACTCGGGGGTGAAGTGTTCCTGAGTGKGGGGGATAAAAGGAGTATTAGGATGAACTGCCAAAGAAATGGCGACAAAGAAAGGTAAKTAAGTGAACATGGTGAAGGGTGAGGTGTAGAAGTTACAGAATGATGTTTATCRTTTRAAACACCTTCCATCAATCAGCTCGTTTAGTCATTTTCTCTGCCGGGTCTCACAGAACAAACTGCACCAACTTAGGACAGCTGACATTTGCATTTCCTTATTCCTGTGTCTCCATGGCAACTAGCTACTCCCTAGAATACCAACCAGCCCACTGGGAAAGATGGTGTCCAGGTTACAGAGGGAAATAAAAAAATGGGTATAAAATGGTATAAATTTTGATGAATGTTTGTAATGAAGAGACTTGGCATCAGCTCGGTGTGCACTGCTTTTGTAAATATTTTCTGTTTTTAATATGAAAAGATGGAACAGGTGATATCTGTGTTGTGATGGAGGCTGGACGTGATGATGGAGCAGATACTGATGTGTTTTTCCTTCTTGTGAAAGGTGTTATTACAGAGGTTTTTCTTCTTTTTTTTCTAATATTTTCTCTTTGCTAGTTTTTATCCTTTGGTCTCACGGTTTTGTTTGTTTCGACTGCTGGAAGTGAGGGATTTTTTTTCTTCTTGTTATTGCTTTCACACCCACCACCAGAGCCGAGGAGCTAAAATGAGGTGCTGAAAGCGAAGCCCTGCAGCCAGCGGCTCTTTCTGGCCCGTCGGATCAAATGAAAGCGCCCGTGCCTGCTCGCGTGTGCATCAAAGGAAGCGACATGAAGAAATCTTTTCATCAAAAAGTGACCAAAGGGAGATAAACAAAAGGAAAGATGAGGAACGAGCTGAAATCAATCCTGAGAAGCCACAAAAAAAAACAAGAAAAACATAGATGAGTGAGTCTTATACAGTATGGTGGCACCAATAAAACAATGAACAAGGACATTTAAGACACTTTGAAGGGTTGCCAACATAAACACAACAAATATTAAAGATTTTTGCATCGATTTAATCTAAGCTAAGCCTGATTAGATGAAAAAAGGTAGAAAAAAGTGGAATTAAAACCAAGATCACAAGAAATGTTAAAGCTGCTCCTTTTGGCTTATTCAAGTCACCATAACCACATACCTGTGGCTCTCACTCCCTGACAGGGGTCTTGAAACAATGGGCAGACAGACTGGCAGAGCATAAGCGTCAAACAAGTCGTCAATGAGTGAAAACTAGAAGTTGTACTAAAACCCTTTTTAAACCAGGTGGCAGGAGGGTCTGCTTCCGATTGTCTAAGACGGGGGTCTTCAACATTTTTGAGTCTGGGACCCCAAAAGTGATGGAGAGACAGCACAAGGACCCCCCTATATGAGTAAATATAATGTTTATTAACATTAGTCAACGCTTTCTCACACCCAGGTCGTCACATATTGATGCTTTTCCAAGGGTCCCTCTGCATCCGATTTTGACGTGTCGGGTACCCCCCTCTCATCAGTTATTGACGAGATGGGGCAGAATCCGTTGTCATAATTTCAGAAATGGTAGAAAATGCACAAAAACTACCRTCCCAAATCCTAAAATTACTTTTATTCACTTTAGACATCCTGTCCCTGACCCCACTACCTAAAATTAACCATGAACCCTGATCCCTACTATTAACCACGGACCCCAAGTCAAAGACCCCTATATTTTGCGTCCCAACTCGTCAAACCTGAACGCCAAGGGAACACGGAAGTGCCTGGTGCGTCAATAACTGAYGAGAAAGGGGTACCTGACGTGTCAAAATAAGACACAGAGGGAACCTTGGAAAAGCATCAATATGTTGACGAGTCGGGAGTGAGATTGTGTTACATTAGTTGTTGCTATTATCATTAAGAGCTGCAGAGTTGTTGAGATTTTGCAAAAATGACAATTATATTAGGATCTCAACCAATGACTGTGAACCTGACAGAGCAAACAAGACCCGCCCAGTATGGATGGGGGCGGGGCCTTCTCTTTGCGTGCACAATGCATGGAGGGTGAATGAGTGCGTTTCTGACTAAAACACATTATTTTATCATTAAACTTTTTTAAGTATACATTCTCACAACGCTATTGTTGAAGATCTGGTTTAAGGTGTTTTATGTGAGAAATTGTTATACGTGCAATTAACCATTAGAAATTAATGTTTTCCACTTTGCAGTTACTGCAGTTGGTGCCATGTGATGATGACGTGCATGTGAGCTCAGTGGTGGAAGTGCATTGCAACTAATCCCAATCTTGTTTTTAATCACCGGAAACACAAGTAAAGCAAGAAAAGGCTGAATGTTGGCTACATGCAGGTGCAGGTGTCAGCTATTAATTGTCATATTGATCGTTAGTTAAGAGCCACGATAATCGTAGAAAATGTCCTGATGCATCTCAGTAATCCAGGTAGAAAAAATCAAAAAGAAAAAATAAGTAGGTCCTCTGGATGGGTTCTTCTTTAGTGAAACGTTTCATCTCTCCTCCAAGAGACTTCTTCAGTCTGATGAGTTTCAGGTGAACTCAGCCTTACAAGCACTGCCTCCACATGAACAAACAGGTTAGTCACATGTAAAAGAGGGCCATCGCCTAACAATATGCTTGATTAGCTCTATTAGCAAGCTCTATTAATAGAGCTAATCAAGCATATTGTTAGGCGATGGCCCTCTTTTGCATATGACTAACCTGTTTGTCCATGTGGAGGCAGTGCTTATATCGCTGAGTTCACCTGAAACTCCTCAGACTGAAGAAGTCTCTWGGAGGAGAGACGAAGCGTTTCRCTAAAGAAGAACCCRTCCAGAGGACCTACTKATTTTTTCTTTTTGAATTGTAAAAAATCTTTTTGCCAATATCGCTCAACCCTGGTGAGAAATCAGTGAAAAAGGTTGTACACATCCAGTTTAAAACAGAAAACAGCTGAGGTACAGTGGAAATCAATGAGATTTTTGGATGATTACTGTGGGGGGACACTGAGTAAAGCAGATTTTTTTTTTGATGAAGATGAAGAAGTTTGTGTGAATAAAAGGTTTTGGTTGCCAAATTTTTATAAAGATTAGATAAAACATTACCAAATTGTTCAAATGTCAGCTGAACAGTSTGTGATAAAACTATCCAAAGGGCCCAAAGATTATTCTGTGACTGCGTAAAACTTCTGAAAACGTCAAAAATCACATCAGTCATGTAAGAATCTGTTTGTGACCTGTTTTAATTTTGAATAAAGCTTCTACTGTGAAGTATGACTGAGCTGCAGATTATCAAAGAGCATTAGGTACTTGTTTAGAAAAAAAATCCCAATACTTGTCTATATTTTTACATGTGTTATCTGTGTGGTATGAAATACGGCCACCATAGTCACAGAACACTACTTCTGATCGAGCTGTGTTTTAATGTGTCACTGAAAGGCTGAAAGTTTGCGTTTGGTGATGAAGATGATGACAGGCATGTTTTTATCAGGACCTACAGAGGTGTAGACGAAGCCTTCGTTGTTCATCGCCAGGTAGAGYTTGGTCTGGACGCCCTGGATGGCCACCACACGAAGCCCCACAGGGATCAGGTTGAACACAGCTACGAGCGCACACACATTCACACACACACGAGAGAACACAGAGGGACACAGAGAACCGTCCTCATCAATATCACTGACATAATGACGCCTCCACTTCGCAGCCGAGACACTGTTATAAATGTTCAGTCAGGCGTAGAAGCTATTTAGCGCCTGGTTTTAGGCTAACGATGAAAAACAAAAAGGAGGTTTGGTGAAGAAATCGCAACAAGGGAAGCTTTAAGCAGAAAAAGCGACTGAGCTTATGGCTATTTTTCTTTTTAATACACAAACTGTTAATAAATTCATTTTTTACCTATTCAGTCAAAATAACTATGAGGAAATTATATTAATTTACACAAATCAGCCATAACATTATGACCTGATTAGCAGGATTGCTTTATAAGGTTTTTTTTTGACTGCAGAGGTCCTCTGTCTGTGCATCAGGATTACAGGCKGCTATCCGAGTTTGAAGACTGAGCAACATCACGGCCTCTTGTGTTCTCTGAGCCGTTTCCGAGCAGGTTTACTGCTGTCCTCGTCAGAGAGGGGGCTGCGTCTGTAGGAGAGTGTGGTTGCCATGTGGGAGGTGTGACTGGTCTGCAGAAATGTTTACGTCGGTGGGAAGTGGAAATGTAAAACCCATGTGAATACGTGGATGCAGACCGTCCCCGCAAAGTGTTGCATTTTTAAAATATAATCTTCAACTGACCATTTAGCTTGCTCTAAATTAGTTTTCATCTAATGTCATTGATTACTCAATGGATCATTGCAAGGCCAATATGGACACGTTTCTTTTTATGTCTGCAAAAACTGAAACCTCTTGAGACCTTCTTTGTTCCAGCTGCAACTGATGAAACCACATAATGTTTGATGTGGTGAAGAAAAATGAAAAGACAAAAAAAAAACCCACTTTCCAAACCTCTCCGCTCGATCAGTCCTGCAGGTTTAAACTCTACGCTTGCAGACAGAAAATAACCTTGTTTTCTGTTTCTGTTTCTAAAGCACGGGGACACGCTGAGCAGAAGGTTGTCTAAACATTAAAAACTCTCACTTGCAGAGGAGCGTGTGGGTGGTTCCATCAGGTAATGATTATTATAAATAGCAGTAATCAAGTATAACAGTGCTAAATAGCTTATAACTCGGTTTCCACTCTATTTATTTATGGCTAATCGTTGATTTTTGTTCAGCTTTAGTCTACCCTCAAAGAATATTTGAATTTTTGTTCTGTGAGTGTTATTTATTTGGCAAAGAACATTGTTTTTGCTCATGTTTGTGACTTTGTCAGTCAACCCTATTTGTCTGCAAAGTATCTCATGAAGCATGGTGCAGATTTTAATGAAACCTTCAGAAAGTAATGACTGTATGTACATCTTCAGCTGTTTAATCAAAGTTAACATGGCTGCCACAGCCGTCTGATCTCAGAGAACACATTATTTGCTCAGGTTTACTGAGCTAACATTTGGTTTTGTGGTAGCTGAGGGTCATCACAAAAATATAAGCTAAGCTCTACAAAAACTATTACATCTTTGATTTTAACCTTAGATTTAACTTTGTTTGTTGGCAAGTCTCATTAATGGGTAAACAAATTTAAATGAACTGATTACATTTTGGCCGCCGCAACCTCAGCTGACAGAAAAATATCTACAGCTGTGTCCAAATTCAGGCGCTGCGYCCTTTGAAGCAGAGATCCTTAACCAATGGGCGGCCGCAAGCGCCACCTTGAGGGCCTCAAAAGAACAACAGTTTTTAACTTTGGGCCACAGAGGGCCGCGGGACCGCGGGACCGCGGGACCGCATTGATTTTGAATAGGGTGTAATAAACTTTCTCACCACTAGTAGCAGTAGTGCGCCACTCAGATGTTTAACAACTTTTTTAATATGTTGAAGAAGAACCTTAGAAACCTGCTGAGAATGGAAACTTATTTTAAATGAAAADTASAAGCAAAAATGAAAGTAACTCATCAAAAAACACCAAAGTTTGTCACTAATATGAAGTGCAGCTTCTGTTTTTACCATGCAATATTTTAAAAGTTCAAAACATTATCAAATACAGTTGCAGAAACAACTATATATTAATTTGCACTTTAAATTAATTTTTGTAGTTTATTTTTAAACATTTTGAATGTATTTTAAAGAAATTTTAAACTTGTCAAAACGCTGCTGTTACTGTTATTGTTTGTCACTAATATGAAGAGCAGCTTCTGGTTGCAAAAGTTTAAAAATGCTTTATTTTCATTTGTACTTTATCAAATTTATTTTTACAGCTTTTTATTTGAAACATTTATATTAAACATTTTTAATTWATTTATTTTATGCACACAATTTAATTTTTTGAATTGTCTATTTTTGTTATTAACCAGGATTTAGAATAATTCTCATTTTGATCCATACATTGGTAWTGTCTGACTGGGCCTCGTGACACTTTATGTTCAATAAATTGGGCCCCGAGGTCAAAAAGGTTAAGAACCCCTGCTTTGAAGGACACGGTCAAYGTGAGTCAGGTCTTTTGTGAAACGCAAAGACCAAAAAGTTGTTGTGAATTCGGACGGGACACGTCCCTTAACGTATTGTGGGCCACAAATGGAGGAGCATTCGATTTTTGACAGCCTTTGGCGTATCACTGTAACGTAATCAGCCTTCAAATTTAGCCTTCAAAGGACGCAGACCTTGAATTCGGACACAGCCTGTTAATCAGACAATTTTGCAGATATTGTGCTGAAATTTGGTGTGGTAGTAGCTGAAAGTGATTCACAACACGCACTCTGAGTCCTAATGCATCATGTGACATTGCGTCATCTGTAACGCCATCATTTCTCATCACAAGCCTTTAAAACTCAGGTGTGAACAGGTGCGTCCACTGGCATTCCTTTCAAGGAGTAATAGGTTGTTAGTTCTTTGTGTGCAAATTCACAAACTTAAACATGTTGCTGTGAGAGAAGGGACATAATTATACCTCYGAGTTTTATGATTCAAGCTGTTGCCTAATTACAGTCATTCAGCCAACCATGTTCTTTTTTTAATGACTGTGGCTGTTTGGAGACTCAGATTACGGGGATTATCCATCCAAACCCGGTCACGGGTTGCAGGGTTCATGCGGTGAGGCGTTTACATGATGTACACCGCTTGTAATCATTTAATTAAAGCACACACTTCCATGTGTTTGTATGTGTAGCCAGCAGCCGGTGGCCTGAAAAGCGGCGACGATAAACGGGAGATCAGCTGCGCGCGAGGGGGAGAGCGATTGCTATTCGAATGACAACAAGTGAATTGAATTAGTCCTATTAATCTCACGTCGTGACCCGCRTTCGTATTTGCATAAAAAAGAATGAGTCAGTTCATTTCATTTTTTTYCCTTGAAATAAAAAAGCTGCACCATTCATTTATTTATTGTGTTGATACTTAATCAATTCATTTAAGCAGAAAGCGCAGATAAATTGTTCAGATCGCGTTGCCACCTGACATTTGGAGGAAAAGCACCATCTTGCTAATTAAATGAGCACTTGACATTGAGTGACTGCCTGAATTAAATGTCCCAGATCAAATTTGTTTCCACAGAGTGAACTTTATGATTAAATTAGATTTAGCTGGAGTTGAATGCTAAGCCCCAAAGTGCATATAAACACAGGAAATTAAATCACCTCTTGCTAGAAATCAAACCTTTGACATAAGGCAAAATCGTTTAGTTGCTCGAGGCGATATGAACCCAAACTACGATTAGGAATATAGGGAAAAAACAATTTCAGCCTCATGTGCTGCTTATAAGAATGATACAAAATAAACTTCAGCCTGCTGCAGACAAAATTCTATTTCTTTTTGTTAAAAAAGAGGCATCTGTAACATTTTTAGATCTGTTGTTCTTTCAATAAAAATATTTCATGCTGCTTTTATGTTGGAGTCAATATTTTGCAATTTAAGAATTTAATTAAACACTGATTTATAAGCTGAAAACGTGCTGATTAGTGGAATGCCACAAAATGAGTTTGTTGATAATCCGCTGAATGATTCATAAATTTCTTTACGATAGAAAATTAAACATCATTGCTTTAGGTCCTTGGTAATCTTCACATGTTTTGCCACCTGCTGACTTTTTTTTCTTTTACAGCCAAAATGCTCAATCAGTGTTTCACAAAGAGCGTCTGATCGATCGATAAGGAAACAGATTACTCGCAGGAGTAAATTGGATTTTTGAAAAATGAAACGAAATGCAACAGAAATGGTGTTGGATTTACCGTAGGTGCTGTCCTCATCCTTGGTTCCGTCGATGGTGCCATCAGGCTGCATCTGCAGCTGGAAGCCCTGGCGACTGGAGAGCCTGGTCACAATGCCCTTTAACTGGGGCTCTGAGAGGAAGGAGGGGAGAAAAGGAGACATCGTTTGCTCATTTTTTACCATCAAGTGATGAAATCTATTCAAAGGAACTGGCTCCAGGACAGAGTCAGAGCTTGTTTATGTCTYCAGTCACTGGGGACCCATTGGTTCCCCCTGACACCTGAAAACTGTTGCTTATTAAAACCACACAACCTTATCTGAAGATTTTTTTTTACCAGACACCTGCTGCTACACTTTACTGTGGCACAACATAAAGTTATCACATGAGATGCTGCAGCATGAATAAGAGACGTGGATACCCAGAGGGTGACAGATGAAAATATGGTGTAAAGATGATGGTGGTAGAGATGATGATGGCCGAGGTGATGCTGGAGCCCTGTGATGTTCTGATTGCCCCCCCTCCTCCACCCCATCCATCCATCCATCCCTCAGACCTGGTGGTCGCTTCCTCTTTCGCTTCTTCCTTGACCCGAACAGTTTCACTCGGGAGAACACATTCAGCTTGCTCGGCTTCTCGTTGGCGCCCTTGCTGTTGCTCGGGCTGCTGCTGCCGCGGCACGCGTTCGCCTTCTCCCGCTCGCGCGCCTGCCTCTTCTGGCGGATGAGGGAGCTGGCGATGGCCGCTGCCCGAGACATGCTGGCCGTGGAGCGAGACGAGGCTGTGCGTCCCCGGCGCTGGAGAGAGGGGAGGACCGTTCGGTGTGAGGAGGGGAGGAGGAGGAGGAGGAGGGGAGAGAGGGACAGAGAGGGGGGTCTACGCCGCCCACGAGTCAGTTCGCATCACACACCGGCCGCAGCAGGAGGCTGGCAGGTGGTTCCAAAACGCGTGATGATCCAAAATCCTCCATCGGTGCGTCCGCGGTGYGCCTCCTAATCCGGAGATGCTCCAGTGGCTCCCATCCCATCCCCCTCCAGGGGAGGAAGGCAGGGGAGGCAAGGGGGGGTCTGAGTGGCAAAAGCTCCCCACCCCCTCAAGTGTTTTTTCACCCCTTTTTTTTAAGTGTCCAAAAGAGCGTGGATGAAAATGATCTGGTCCGGCTCTGAGTGGCGGCTCAACAGCTTATGGAGTGTTCTTGATGTTCTTCTTGAGAGTGATGATGATGATGATGATGATGATCACTGCAGCTGCTGCCTCCTGCTCTTCCTCCTGCTCCGCACCGCTCCCGCAGAGGTGCCGCTCTGCTCCTGGACGCTGACAGAAATGCACCAAGCGAGATGTTTGTCAATGAAACACGTCCGGGCTCGGTCGGAGGGAGACGGAACATGATGCAGCCGCGCCGTTCATAAAACTGCTGCAGCCCTGCCCGCACCGGAGGAGGAGAGGAGGAGGGGGAGGAGAGAGGGGGTGAGGGTGGGCTTGGGGGGGGGGGCGCTTTGGATACATCGGGGACGGGGGCACCTGTGGCCCCCCCGCCTCCACGTGCCATGATGTTTACATGTTCAGCTGAAACACTGATGTGTGATGGGCCATGGAGGCGAGCGAGTTTGGGGAGGTGTGTGGGTCAAATGAGGATAAACATAAAGTAAGATGTGTGTGTGTGTGTTTGTGGGGGGTGGGGGGGATCTGACAGACCTGTGAATATGAATGAGAGGAGGGATAATAGGAAAGGAGGGAGAGTGAGCTGTAGAGTGAGAAAGGGGGACAGGATGAAAAGTGAGAGGGAGAGAGAGAAAAAAACAGGTGGGTTGGAAAAGATGAATGAAAGAGAGGAAGAGAAAAAGTAGGTGTTGTATGTAAATAAATGAAGACATCACTTTCATATGAAGGTGCTGGAAGAAAAAAAAGGAATAAAAACTAAACGAACACTCTTGAAGGAATGCATGTCGCCCGCCGCCTTTCAAGTCAAAGCTGTAGACTGAGATCATCTTGATGAGAAATTCAAGACTTCATAAACAACTTTGTGCACATCAAAAAGAAAAAATAAGTAGGTCCTCTGGATGGGTTCTTCTTCAGTGAAACGTTTCGTCTCTCCTCCAAGAGACTTCTTCAGTCTGRTGAGTTTCAGGTGAACTCAGCCTTATAAGCACTGCCTCCACATGGACAAACAGGTTAGTCACATGCAAAAGAGGGCCATCGCTTAACAATAGGTTTGATTGGCTCTATTGTTCATAGAGAGTCATGTGCCCCATCACCTGATTTACTGGTTTGGATGCTTCAGCTGTGGTTCTTAGGTGTCATGTTGTGTATGTTGTGAATGCAGGCGGGGCTCAAAGTCCCCTGTTTTTGTTTCTTTCCCTCTTTGTGTTGGTATCATTGGGGCTCTGATTCACACCTTTTGCTCACAGGGGGCTGAGTCATGCAACAACAGCATTGTAGGAGGACAACTGGACACGAAGGCCTCCACCTCTGTTTAATGGTGGACGGTTTTTCTTCACAAAGATGGCTTCCTTTACTCCTCTCTCAAACCAACGTTCCTCTCTATCAAGGATAACATCTTCATCCCTGAAAGAGTGACCGCTGACCTGTAGATGAGTGTAAACTGCAGAGTCCTGACCTGTAGATGAGTGTAAACTGCAGAGTCCTGACCTGTAGATGAGTGTAAACTGCAGAGTCCTGACCTGTAGATGAGTGTAAACTGCAGAGTCCTGACCCGGCGAAGTAGCTCATCTGTGCTGGCTCATTCTTTTGAACAGAGGCTGTTTTGTTTCCCGATGTATAACTGATCACGGTCCTCCTGACACTTAACAGCTTATACTATATGTTCACCTGAAACTCATCAGACTGAAGAAGTCTCTTGGAGGAGAGACGAAACGTTTCACTAAAGAAGAACCCATCCAGAGGACCTACTTATTTTTTCTTTTTGATTTTTTTCTACCTGGATTACTGAGATGCGTCAGGACAACATTGTGCACAGTTTTGCAAAGTTCCCACGTTCAGAATATGTTGTAAACGAATCATTAAACTTTAGCTCCATATCTGTGACTCTGACAAACTTTTTAGCCATTTTTGTGTTTGCCAAATTTGACTTGCTGTGGCAGCCACCTTGGTATAGATTGGCTCAACAAGTTAATCAGTTGTAGATGTACACTCACTGATTACTGTTTGGGGGTTTTAAAAAAATGCATCCAGCCATTTATGGAATATTTTGCTAACAGACTCACAGGGATGACTCCAACATTTATGCAAGCATTTGAATCAAAAACGCTGTTTAATTAAAAAATCTTGGTACTTTGGTTAACTATAATACTCAGCTACTATCACATTAAATTTTAACTCGGTATCTGTAAAACTGGATGAGTTATCACTATTTTTGTGTTGAACAATAGCAGCTGGCTGTGGCCACCAGCTTAAACTGGGTTGACTCCAAAAAGTTTATCAGTTGAAGATGTTCATCTAATATTTATTCTTTGAGAGTTTCTCTAAAATCTGTTCAGTGTTTTATGAAATACTTTGCTAACTGACAACCAAGGTTGAGGCTTGTACAATAAGCACCTGGAGCATGTGTTGAGTATGACTCTCAACTACAACTACAACTAATTTAAACCCAATATATGAACAATTGACTGAATTGTGGCCATTTTTGTTTCTCTGGGGTCAGTTGGCTGTGGCAGCCATATTGAATCTGGTTAATCAGTTGCAGATGTCCATCTAATGATTACTTCCTGCAAGTTTCACTCAATTTGTCCTTTCTTTCAAGAGATATTTTGGTGACACACGGGCAAAAACATTACTCTGCCTTCGCTTTTCAAATAATGAAATGAACTCAAAGAAAAGAGAGAGACAGAAGACAAAAAAGAGAAGAGGAGGGGCTTGCAACCTTTTTTTTTTTTTTTTTTTGATGCAGAGGTTCACCACTGAGAGGCTGCAGCTCACAAGAAGGAGGTGAATAACGAAGAAAGCACTTCAGGTTAGATGAGGTGTGTCGTTTTATTTTTATTTTTTCTTTTCCAGACATTTCCGTTCGCATTAAAGCACTGGAGCGGTGRGAGCAGCACAGAGCAGCAATCAGACACTTCACGAACGTCTGCGGGCCACAGGCAGCCCCCGCAGGAAAACAGATGAGCAGCTGTTGGAGCCACATACAGCGGGTAAAATAAGTGTTGAACACGTCAACATTTTTCTCAGTAAATATATTACTAGAGGTGCTAATG